AGCTCTGGGGGGATGGGGGTGATTTAACTGTGAAGAGCGGGGGGGTCGTGTTGTGGTTTGAGTTGTTATCAGTTCTTTTGAGTAAAGAGGAGCGTTTCCATAAATGCACTGGTGGGTGAGAAGAGAGATCATGTACTTGATCCTGGCAGAAACAGGAAGCCAGTGAAGTGACGGAAGGACAGGTGTTATGTGTTCATATATCCGAACTGTATGCAGCCTTAGAAGACTCTTACTAGGGATCCCAGTGAGGAGTGTGCTGCAGTAGTCCAGCCCGGAGGAGATGACGGCATGGACCAGCTTTTCTGCATCAGGGAGGGTGAGGGTAGAGCGAAGCTTAGCATTATTTCTGAGGTGGATACAAATATTCCTGCACCTCCAGTTCAGGCAAATAAAGCGTTTAGGCTCAACGGTTTGAATACGGTAAACTATAAGCACTAACCGACTGGGCCAACACTGCCCAGCATAAATCTGAGTATTCCTCCATGGCATTTGTGAGTGACTGATCCATGACTACAGGAATCCATCGGTTGGACTTCCTCTCCTCATCCTTGTAAAGTTTAGTTTTAAGTAGTTACCCATTTCTTAACCAGTTTTGATCAAGAAAGATCATTCTACGCATCAAAACCTGATGTATGCAAACAAGTACGTTCTCATAGATGCTAATCAAACAAACAAACAAACAAAAACTGTACAACTTTGTTTGAATACCTGAAGGACACCGAGTTTTTTATGTTCTCATGTCGGACCCACCACTGCGCAATGCGGATCCTGATCGTTTCACACTGTTCGGTTTTCTCGCTTTCTCTCTCCCTGAAACAGAGAATCAGCAAATGCATAAACATGACTCATGCGCCGTACTGCTAAGGTCTCCGGGGCATTCAAGCGGCGACACAGTAGCAATCCTCCACTTTATTCGGATCAAAGCACAAGACACACTGCTCAGGATTCAGACCGCACGCCGGCGCCCGTCTCTGCCCGCTGCGGTTTACCGAAGGGGACGGTGCGTTTCGGGACGCTTAGCTGGCTCCATTCTGCCGGTGTAAAATCTTTATACCGTACAAATTTACATCCTGCGTTAATATTCAATAGGTCCCCCTCTTGTTTTTAATCACCGACATTCTGAAAGGCAAACTGGAATTTAAGTAACGCAAGCGTTAACCTTTTTAAACTATTTTTAAACTACCCAGGAACTCTCACATATCAGTTGTGTGCAAGACACGGATGACTATTGTTGGAGTCGCACCGCACTATCCAAAATTGTTTTTACGTCCTTTTTAAGAGTCTGTTGCGCCAACGACAGTGTAAAGCAGGAATGTCAAATTTACTGAAGTTATCGAGCCACGTTGTTCCTTATCCAATCTAAAGTGGGTCTGTCTGCGTGTGGGATAGAGAATATTTTAGCTCTTAGTGGAAAGGTTCGTAGTAAACTAATATAAGCTAGCCTCAAACGATCGTGATGGCTTGTATCAAGACATAATTATCGATATAATGCACGATTAACAGTAAAAGGTAACAAAGTGTAACATAAAATAAACACAATCTGATTTGCGATTCAGTAAAGGTTGCTGCCATTTCATGCAGTTTCTGCACCAGGTGCTGTTTACTATAGAAAGTGGAGAAATTTAATAGTCTGTCTGTAACCAACCTTTTTTTGTTAAACTTCCATCCACCTGTGTTGGCGAATGGGTGATGATTGCAGGGGCCATTTCTGCAGCGTGGCCACGTCGGGCATGCATGCATGTCTTCACAAACTCACCATCAGAGAAAGGCTTCTGTAATGTAGGCCTTTAGTGGGAAAACTAAGAACGCGGAGTTTTACTTTTGAAATCGTAATGTGGGACTTTTCTTTAATCAATGTGTTTGTATCATAAACCACAACCATGGGCTTGAGTTGGGGGGGGGTTGTAGTCGTCCGATTCGAAATTGCAATTAATTGGCAAGAGCAGCATTGTGTTGTGTTCTATGGTGGCACTTTGCTCCTTTGCATAAGCGGTTTGTTGGTACCCAATAGGCCAGGGGTGTCAAACTGCAGTCCTGGGGGGCCGGAGCCCTGTGTAGCTTAGCTCTGTCCCTGGTCCACCATAAATGATTCAGCTCAAGAGCTGTGTGGTAATTAGCACAAGGAGTTGAATCAGGTGTGTTAAATGAGGGTAAACGCAAAAATGTGCAGGGCTCCGGCCCCCCAGGACTGGAGTTTGACACCCGTGCAATAGGCAGACAAAATAATGTCATGTGTGCATCAGATACGAGCGTTAACACACAAGGTAAGCAAGATGAGGTTTTTTTTGGCCCTGCCCCCAAGTGCAAAAATCAAACTATGATTACAACCTTTATCAATTTTCTTTTCGTTAAGTTTATATGACCTGCAAGAAATGAGAGTGGGGCTTGGAGTTTGGCACCTGTGGTCTGTCGCTGTAACAAACTAAGAGGGATGTTTGGGATTCTGTATCCTACAAGCTAATGAATATACTTAATAACGGAGTGTCAGGCCACTCTGACTAACTGAAAATAACCGCATGCCAAACCACTCTGCAATTACGAGACAAACGAAAGTCATCCTCCATCCTAAAGAATGAGGATTTCAGCCCACCGAGCTGTTTATTTCGGCTTAAAAATACACATAGAATAATAACTGATGATTCAGTTGGTAAGGGGTGTGGGTAAAAAAAAAACTGAATTAAAAATAATGCAATGAAACGCGTCAGTCGTGCATTTTCCCGTGAACATGTGTTGATCGAGCATCGGTACACGCGATGAGGGGCTTTGTAATGACGTATTGATCTGGGTTTATCCATTTCAGTCAACATCTGTACAGCAGAACAAGAGACAGGCTGGTAAAGAGCACCATCTGCTGGCGGTCGAGTGCCAAAGCCGTCCATAATATTCAACATACCGCCAAGAACTTGCTAGCAAGCTTGCTGTAGTGTCGTTTTCGGACACTGGGTGAGTGTCAATGAATTACAGGAATATAGCATGAGAAACAATATGGTACATAGTATGGTTCTGTGTGTTTTTCCCCTACATTAGCTATATCAGAATCGGTGGGGGGTATTTTGCAAATCCTACACACTATTTTCAAAGTAATAAAACTGTTACAAATATCTCCATACTTGTGTAGACTAGTCTGGAATTGAAAATCTCAGGCCAGCCAGCTGACCAAAGCTGGCAACCCTCATAATCTTCAGATAAAATCAAGTACTGTAGTTTCTTTACCAGCCCGTATGTGGTACTCCGCATTGCACTCGGTTACCCATTAAGCTTTGCGGCTCCTAACATCCGGGATCTCATTTTACTCTACAATGGCCGACAGTGGCTGTGCAGCGTTCGTAGGTAGTTGGGATTTTTTGTACCGGCCGTTGGTGTTTTCCCGCAACGCGGTCCGTTTGTAAACTGTGCGCGCGTTGCCCATCCAGGTGAACCATGTTTAAAAAAGCGAAGAGGGTTAATTTCAGGCGAAGGAATGAGTCGGACGACGACGAAAAGGAAGACGGCCGGGAGCCTCAAATAGCGACGCCGCCAGTGCCGCAGCAGCCCTGCGGCCCTGCCGTGGAGGAGGGCAGCATCCGAGATCCCGATGCCCACAATTCCGAGGCGGTACCCGGCGGCACTGTAACCGTGCACCACGGCAACGGTCTGCAACTGAGCGTCGGAAAGGCCGTCAAGGAGAAAAAGAAGAATAATAAGGATGGCCGCGACGCCCCAAGAGCCAGCCTGCTGAGCTTTCACGACGACGAGGGTAAAAGTTACAGACGAGCACAGTGGCCCGGTTTTCTGAAATTGGGGCCCCAACTTATGCGCTTCAGAGTCTTGCGGTTTGCTCCTCACATTGAACCGAAGTGGCGTGTTCTGAGATCTCTGATGCGACATCCGGACGGCCAACAGCCCGCTAGCACCGCTGCTCCGCGGGGTTCGCCTGGTCCCCACATGGCCGCCCCGCTTGTTCCCGAGTCGCATTAAAATCTCAGGCAGCTTTTATGAGATTAGCTGTACATTACCCGTAAACTCAATATCTATAGTATTAGATATATTGCAATCAACCTATTTCACAAAGTGTAACGATAATCCTAAAACGTCCATCCACCAAAAACGATAACAGGCCCTTTTTAAATAATCAAACATGCGTATATTTAACAGTAGCGGGAGAGTATCAGTTTCATCGCAGAGGCTAGTTTGTATTAACATACAAACTGCAGTTTATGGACTCCTTACTGATTTTTAAGCATGAGCATTATATGGTATTTGGTAGTGTGGCGCAGGGCTCTGTGCATTAAGTCTCTGTGCCTGTGATCATAAGATGACTGGTTCAAATCCCATGGTGTGCAGAGTGATTTCACCATTGGGCCCTTGAGCAAGACTCTTTAACCCCAATTGCTCAAAGGACTGACTGATCCTGCTGTTTCAAATGTACATCGCTCTGGATAAAAGTGTCCGTTGAATAAATGTAAATATTCTTGTTTTCGGCTGTCTTGTAAATTTTGCATAACAGAATCTGTATCTGTTCATTGCAGAAGACACTGAGGTCTTCAGAGTGAAGAAGCCTAACCATAGTAAGAAGATAGTCAAGCAGCTGAAAAAGGAATATAAAGAAGACCTAGAGAAGAATAGCACCATCAGACAGGAGACCACAGCATCAACGGATGGTATGGTATTCTGGTTTAGCAGTGGAATCCAGGGTTTCTGTTAGTTGGGTTAACTTTTTAGGTAGAAGTGATGCTAGTCCAAGAAGATTTTAGGTAAGGAGCATTCCTATTGGACGATCATGACTTGTATGTTAAGTTAATCCAGATAACTGAGAAATCTGGCTTTATGGAACTATAAATGTAACAATAATAAGCATGGTTTTATTTAGCTGTGAAACACTGTCCTGCTACTAGCGGAGCGATAAATCATGCTTGCATTTATCCCCCCAAGATGTGCGTGCTGTGCGGTTGGGCTGGAGCAGACGGGATGCATTGTCCGTTTCAGAAACAGTGGCACCGACTCTGGTGACCGTGAAGGAGGAGCCGAAGGCGGAGGGGAGCCGAGCCAGCAGCGAGCAGGGCGAGGAGGAGATGGAGGTGGACAGCAACGAGGAGCCGGACGAGGATGGCGAGCCTAGGGGGGGCGCTGGGGCTGCTTTCTCGAACACGCTGTCCTCCCTGAGCACGCTCAGGCCAGGTATGACCGCAGAGCCCCCACCTTTAAGCAGTGCAGGCCCCCTCCCCTCAATCTTTCATTACGTAGTTTTTCTCGGGGACCGATATCTTTTGGTAACACTTCACAGAATTGGCACCTGAATAAACTACCATGTAGCCTTTGGTTCATGGGTGTACATTTTTTTCCCCCTCACTCTAAAAATTAATGAAAAGGTACCAAGCAAAACCGTCTGTTATGGTAACATCACTGTCAAATTCTTTCAAATCCTTGTCCACCTGCTGAAATTCCCTCCCTGCCCTCAGGGCCTCAGGGCTTGTTGCTTGACACCTACATCGCTGACTGTTTCTTGGGCGCATGTTGAACGGCTTGTAACTTGTTGCTAACATTGGGTTGAATGGGTTGTCCTGCACAGTTTTAAATTGGGCGACACATTTTTCTGCCGTGGCGCTCGGTGCTGCAGTGAGGGCTCCACCACAGTCCGACAGAATTCCGATTCCATGTTGCGTCTCCTGAATGAGCCTTGTCGCTTAAGTGTGTGTGCATCATTAGGGCTGGAATAACAGGCTAACCTTCCTCTAGTTTCCTGACAGCAATGCTGGCTTGAAGTACTAATAGGGTTGCAAAGGGCTGGAAAATTTCAGGAAATTTTCCTGAAACTTTCCGTTCCATGGGAAGTTAAGCTGGGGAATTTTGGAAATATTCCACATTAGAAACTTTCCATGGGAATTAACGGGAAAGTATGGGAATTAACAAGAATATTCCTAGAATTTTGCAACCCTAAGTACTACTACTACTATTTTAATGTCAGACAGAGTGTGTGTTTACAGTGTGGCTGTTTATCCAAAGCTAGTTATGGGGGGAGGCTGTTGACCTTGCGCTGAGCAGCATTGCTGCATGCTGTCAATCAGCGCTGGATTTACCAGTTTCGCTAATCGATGAGATGTGAGTTAAAGCCGTCCATTATTGACAGCGTGCAGTAATCCTTCCTGCCATGGGTGCTCTCATCACAACTTTCTCCACCAGAAGATTTCCGTCCGTTGCTGCGCAAGCTGCTGAGCTTGTGAGAATTTGAATTGCACAGCTTGTCTAAGCAATGTGTCGGGAGGTCGGATGAAATTATTCGACCGGGGCTATCCTGTTGCTTTTCAGGTGAGATCCCTGACGCAGCGTTTATCCATGCGGCCCGTAAGCGCCGTCAGCTGGCCCGGGAGCTCGGGGCGGACGGGCCGGCCCCAGAACCAGAAGGCGGTAAGAAGCGTCTGGTCAGGGAGGACGAGCATGATGGCAGTGACGACGACGAGGATGAGAAGAGGATCGTCTTCAGCGGCGTGAAAATGAAGACCCAGCGTCAGAAAATTGCAGAGGAGATAGGTAGCCGTTTTCGACGAGTTCGTTTTGTTGGACATCCCGGTTAGCCGCTGTGATCTAACTCTCTTTTCCCTGCGCAGGCATTGAGGGCAGTGACGACGAGGCACTCGATACTGCCGGAAATGATGAGGAAGTGAGCCGTTGGGAGCAGGAACAGATCAGGAAGGGTATCAGCATCCCCCAGGTCAGCACGCTAGCCCCAGGGCACGATTTCCGTGTATTTTTAGACCGCAGAGTCCTAGGCTGACTCTGACTTCCCCTCCCTCTGTCCTTCAGGTTCAAACCAACCCACCCGAAGACGCTAATATGTATTA